TTTTTGATTATGTAAATTATTGATCTATGGATCATTTTTTAATAACTTTCAAGTTAAAAAAAATTCATTAAAAAAAAATCTCTAAAATTTGTTTCTTATCTAAATTTTGTTATAAATATAATGTTAACTTATAAATGGTATAAAAAAATTAGTTTAGTATTACTTTTTGTGTACAAAATTTTATGGTGTCATGTGCCATTTTCAGAAAGTTTAGATCGGTTAATGACATATGAATTCTACTGTAAGTAAGTTATAATATATATATATAATTTATTATAAATTATTACTACTTTAATACTATTTTAATACTAGTTTAATACTTTTTAAAGTCTTAATAATATGAAAATTAATGAATAACTATTGAATTTTATATTTAACATTAGTCTATTCTAATAAAATAGAATTTAAATTTTTAAATAATAGATTAAATATTGGTTTAATTTTTAAATTGAATTAGTTTTTAATTGAAAAATTATATCAATTTTTAAACAATATATTGTATATAATATTTATAAAATAGTTATCAATAATTAAAAATTTTTTTGAATAAATTATTATATTTAAAGAATTTGAATTTAATATTATTTGCTAAAATTGAATCTATTAATTAAATATTATAAAGTTTTATAAAATAATAAACTTTTAAAAATTATTTACAAATTATATTAATGATTTGATAATTATTCAGAATAGAGCAAATCAATATGAAAGATATTGAATAGAAAACAAAATTTATAATTTTTTATATTTTTACAAAATATAAAAGATTTATTTATTTTAGTTTAATTTGTGAATTATAATAGAAGTATTAATTTATATTTGAAACAAGTTTAATTTTTTTTATATATTTAAATAATGTTATGTATTTTAAAAAATTATTTTATTATTATTATTATAATTAATTAATAAATATTAATATATTAAATATTTTATATATGTTGAATTGTTAACAGGTATCAATATAATGAATGTTTTATATTTAAATGTTTTAACAAATAATAGTATATCAAATAATACCATTTTAACTAATATAAATTAAATATTAGTTTGTTTATAAAAATCATATAATTAATATTGAAAAAAAATTTTAAAACAATATATCTTGTCAAGTGATATCAAGTAACTATGAATCTTTATTTAATATTGGAGAGAATATAATTAATATTATTGATATTAAATTATATATATATTTAAAATAATTAATTTGAATTATTATTTTATTTAATAAAAAAATTAAACTTTTATAATATTTATAATTGTTTAATATTATTTAACTGTTATATTAATTTGTTTTAATATACAATAAGTCAAATAATTACTATAAGAAAGCTAGCATTTAATCTATTGCAAAAGTATATAAGTAATAATATTTTTTAAAAATACTGTATATATCTTATTAAAAAAAAATAATAATAAATAAATAATATTTATTTACTTAAAAAAAAAACAAAAAAAAAATCGAAAAATAACAATCAGTATTACATACGTATAGTCAATTTTAGTAAGTTCTTTTAGAATAGTCTTAGACTAATATTTATATAATCTATATTTCATATTAATATTAAATTTATTATATAATTTATTGTTGATTTTTATGACTGTGTCGATCGCAATTATGTAATAGGTTATTTTTAAATAAAGCAGATTTCGCGACTTAAATGGTGAATTGCATTAATTGAAATTATTCCTGCTTTTTCTAATTCTTATTTTGGTCACTTGTGCAGATTCTTGAACCAATTCTTAAGAAAATGTGACAAATATCGTAATATACGCATATTCTTTCATGACTATATGGGTAATTATATAACTGTGATCCTAAAATTTGCATCGTATATGCATTATTTAAAAAAATAGGACCGGAAAATTTATTTACATTTCGTCGCCTCCAAAGAAGATTGCATAAATGCGCTTCACGTATCAATTTGAGAACTAAGAAATCAATGAAAAAAAAACTCTGTAATGTGTCACAACTTAAAACGACTGGTCATTGTTCTCTTAAAACGAGGTTCGATTGAAAAGCTATACATACCTAATTAAACATTATGTGTTACAAAATTCACAGATATTCTTAATTCATTTAAGAAATTTCGTCAAATTGTTACATCGTTAGATTTCGCAGCAGTGAATACTATGCATTGCAATTTATGTACATTGGCGAATTCCATATGACATATTTCCTGAATAGTTAATTATTCGCAGAAGGATTAAACAACAAATTTAGGAAAGAAGAAAGTATCATTACTATCATCCACGAGAAAGCATTTGGATCGAAGATAAAAAAAATGTATATATACAACTAGAAATTTTCTCAATCCAAATTATGGTCTTTCGCTAACAAGCAAAATCTTTCCAAAGAAAAAATTTTAATTGCAAAAAAATTACCCCCTTATATTATAATTAATTCGTCAAATTCCATTTGTGAAAATGAAATTCTCTACCCTCATATCTGACTTCTTTATCATGGCCTTGGTGATGTTTCTAACAATTATTACCATGTCTGAATCTGCACCCTTGCCCGACGAAGTCATTGAGCCGAGAGTTTGTGGTATGTTTTTTTTTCTATCGAGATTCAACTTTGATAGTCGTTTTTCTTATTTCATTTCATTTATTCATAATTATAGGCGTCGGTTGCAATGGTAGACAATCAAGTTATGCTCGTCCACAGTCAGGTTCTGGCGCATCCTACTAATAATCAAATATAGAACTATTACGCTTACACATTTGTCGGATGTTATTTAATAATTATATTCAGACAAATTTTTTAGAAATGCTTTAATAGCAATATTATGCAAGTTTATAGTTTACTTATTTACAGCACTTCCAATTTATTGTTTTTTTAAAAAATAATTTCTTTCAACGATGATTCTGATTTTTTTTTTGTTCTCCTAATATATTACTATTGCTTAAAATGTAATTTAACATTAATAAAAATTACATTTATTTATATTATTTAAAACCAGACTTACTATAATATATACGTACGTGCATAAAATCTAAATTGTTTTCTCCAATAAAAAGAATTTTAATTAGTTGAGCAGTTATTCAAAATATATTTTAAAAAACTTTGCTACTTGAATGACTTGTAATTATAAATAATTTATTTGATTTATTCAATTCCGGGTCTTATATTAAATTTATTAAATTAATTATAATTCATATACATTTGTTATACTGTATATGCGAATATAAGCGATTTATGCAATTATAATTCCAAATCTAAAATATTAAGTTTTTTATTAATGACAAAAAAAAATATTATGCAATTCTATATATACAGTATAATTTTATTAGTTAAAATGAATTCGTTGTTTTTTTTCAAATTTAAGAAAAAACTTATTTATTAAAAAAATATAATTTTGTGTTACAATTTACAGTTTTAATAACTTTTACTTTGGAGTTTTACAATTCTTTATATGGTTCAACAATATTTTTAATGCTAATTTTAGCAAAGATAATAAATTATATATAAATTATATATTTTTCAAATTATTTTTGAAATTATTAATATTAAAAAATAAATTTGTTAATTATAAATTATTTAATTTAATATTATTAATAATATTATCGATTAAAAAATTTTTAAATAAAAATATATCAGAAACTTTCGTTATATATAAAATTTTATTAATTATATTTAAAATAATATTTAAATTCATACTGTTTAAAATTAAAATTCCATATAAAAAACATATAATATGTTTTCAATAATATTTAAGAAAATCAATCAAATTATAAACTTTATTAATTATATTTTTTATTTTAATAACAATTAATAATTAATAATTTATTGTATATATAAAAAATAGTAAAACTTATATATAATATATCAATAATACAAATTTTAATAATTGAATTAAGATATTAATTGAAGCTTTAATTCAAATAAATAATATTATTTGAAATTTTGTTATAGTATAGTTAATAATTTTTTATTTACTATAATAAAGTAAAATAAAAATATTATTATTAGATTATACAATAAAAATTAATTTATTTAAAAAATTATTATTATTTAAACTTATTATATTATATATAATTTCAAGAAATTATTATATTTTAATTTTAACTTTTGTTTAAATTTTAAATTTAAATTTAAATTATTTTATTTTACTTAAAAAATTAATTAAATAATAAAAATAATTTTTTTCAAAAATGTTTATTATAATAAATAATAAATTAATATTTATAGAAATTATATAAATATATTATATTTTGATATTAATCTTATATTTAATTTTTATATATTTGTATTAAAATTAATGTGATAAATGTCTTATAATTTAAAGCTTATTCTTTTGCTAAAAAAAAACAAATAGCAAATAAATAATAAATAATTTTAAAAAAATAAGTTTAAATTAATAAAAAATAATAATAATAACAAATAAAAGTTTGTTTGTTGATGCTCACTAATAATTGAAATTAACTTTTTTAAACATACAGTAAATCAAAATATTTTTTGGTATTACCTACAAGTATGTTTTTGGTTATATAGGATTTGCACAAACAAGTATGGTATACTAAAATTTGTTTCACCACCGTTGGCTCCATGTAAGCATATCCTATGTCCTTTTTTAATGCTCCGTGCGCGTATTTGCGATCTACTTAATATAAACGAAATGGATAGCATCTACACCTTCGGCTGCATTAGAATTAAATCGGATATCGTTATATGTTTAATAGATAAAAATTTATTGAATTAATATTGCTACAATGTAGTTAAAAGCGAAGCATGTACTTGAATGCAAAGACGATGTATTTGTGGTTACTATAAGTAATGGTGATTTTGTAATAAACATTGCAATTATGGTAATTAAACAAGTATATTTAGCAAAGCAATGATTTTCGCTTAGTGTAAATGTAAAGATAAATTAATTGTTGTCATGTGCATTTGTTTACAACTGCCAAGACAATCCTACAATCCACTCAATACGCACATTGGGATCACGACGTAATTAAATTCTCCGAAACTTATAAGTGATAATCGATCGATCTCTTATACTGCGCCGGCGTAGGCATTTCGAAGGTAAAAAAAAATTGACCATTCGGTTCAGAGAATTTAAATCAGGATATCCATCTTATGAACTATGAATTATTTTCATAGGAATAATATTAATCTTATCGATTAAAGGTTCGTTTCATAGTAAGCTAACTGAGAAGAACTTTAAATTCATACGGTAGTTACGTAATCTAATTCTCTATTTTCATGCACCAATCAAAATCCCAACATAAGTAAACATGGTGAACAAAAGTAGTAAGAAAAAAAAAAAATTACGGCTTACATCATATTGTATACAATACAAATTGTATCACAATTTACTTGTGTACGCGTAGAATGATGTGCTAAAGACCAACTGTCTGTGCGTAAAAAGAATATTCACGTACTGGGTTAGAACCACGGTATTGATTAGAATTGAATTATTTTATTTATGACTATATTAACTAGAAAAGGTGAAGATTACTGCCTAAAGGTAATAATGAGACTTGATGAATATAGTAGAAGTTGGGAAGATGATTTAACTTGAGTTGTAATATTTCATAGATATTATGGAAATTGATTTTGAATTTAAACTTTTAAGAGCACTTTTATTCGTGCATGCATTATTTTTGCGAGCTGTATTAAATGTCCTTATCTCACAGACCACCCGTTGCTGAGAAATCCTGACTAAGCAACCCCACTTTTTTAATAAGCAAAACCAATTAACGTTTTTTTTTATAAGGTCAATTTAGTATTCACAACGTGTAGATTTACGCGGATTCATATTGATTTACAAGAATTATGTAATATATTTTCTCATCTTTAAACAGTGCAAAGAGATCTTGGTAAGCTGTACCATTTAAAAGGGGTTCGTCTTACGTATCAGTAATTAGAACATGTGAATACTGTGAATACGATAAATAATAAATTTGCAGCCTTAAGTACTGAAGAGCTGTTTCTGGAAGTTCGACTTATTTTTTACTTCTGAAATCTGAACGGTCTTTTCTCCATACGCTACATTTCAAAACCTTTCCTTCCTTTGTAGAGACTTGAATCTGTCTCCCATATCAGAAAAGAAAAAATGGGCACTTCAATATCAACTTTACACAAAAATAATAATAAAATACCTCTCACAGAAACTGACGATACCTGTCACTTAGAAACAAGCAAAGAAGATGAGAATTCGGCATCAAGATCTGATGTTCGTGAATACGTTGGGACACGAAAACTTGATAAAAAAGTAAAGTGCACGCTCTCATTAGATAATGATGAAGCTGATAGGCAGACGATGCAGCATTTTATATATCGTCATCTTTGGGAAGGAAACTTTTCCGCGCCTGTGAATGAGATATTAACAGATGGTGCTCGGATTCTGGACGTTGGGTAATTTTCGTTCCTTGAATTTTGATCAAAACGTTCGTACATTGTACTTAAAGTATTTACATGTGTATAATATATCCAAATTTCAGATGTGGCTCCGGAACTTTCTTACTGGATATGGCAACAGAATTTCCAAATTCTCATTTCATAGGTATCGATGTCTCCTCAAACTTTCCTAAGGAAATCAAACCTGCCAACCTCGATTTCTTCCAGTCAGACATTCTCGAGGGCCTACCATTTAGAGACGGCTTATTCGATTTTGTGTACATCAGATTTATGGAATTTGATATAAAAAAGGATGATTGGCCGAAGATATTTTTGGAGGTTGCAAGGGTACTGAAACCGGGTGGTTACATCGAGATCATGGAGAAAAATTATACATTAATAAACGAACCGCCTTCGAGTACAATAATTCGAGAACGATGTAAGATAATCAATCGAGTTACTGTACGTACAGTATATATTTTTACCATTTGTGACTAACCGTATAAATCTCGTATTAATGCTTAATCATCTAGTTTATAAGTTCATGAAAGAGAAGTACAGAGTCGAACATGATCTCGGAAATACGATTGATCAGATGAAAAAATCACTGAATTTTACGGACATTCAACACGAGGCTCGAGAGCTTCCGGTCGGCAGCTGGGGAGGGAACCTGGGTAAAGGTGTTGAGACTACGTATCACTGGCATATTATGAGCTTAAGAAAATTACTGTTTTCACAAGACATAAGCGATGAGGAATTTAAAAAGGAAGTTGATAACTGCATGGCAGACCTCGATAAATATAAGCCTAGAGAGATTAGTTATCGCTATTGGGCGAAGAAAGTACAGAATAATTAAAAAGAATAAATTCGATATTGATGTATTTTATTTATTGATTTTAAATTCTTGGCTTGGCCCGATATAATTCACTTCATAGGGAAATATATAAGGGTAATGTAAATATTGGTGATCATAGCAGAGTTTCAGCAGAAAAATGCTCCCCGTGCGTCACTCGTGCAGCATTTGTGCAGGCGTGCTTTCGAGTGAAATTTCCGAATTATGTATAATTCACGTGATCGAATTTCGCGAATTTCGCAAAATCGCGAGAAATTTTTAATTAAACTTCGCAGAATCAATATTGCTCTAACATAATTTAAATTAATTTTTTGCGTAATAAAAGTATAAATAAATAGTTAATTATATTTAATGTTTTTATAAGTTTTTGTGATAAATTGAATAAGTTTTATTAAATAAAAATATTTTAATAAAAAACTAATATTCTTTAAAAAAATTTTTTATTAAATAAATAAATTATGCATAAAAAAATAAATTGTAAAATAACAATAATAACATTTAAATAATAAATAATGAAAATAATAGTATATATATATTATTATTATTATTTTTTAATAAGATTAGTGAAATATGAATTTCTTTTCTTTTGTTAGAAATATATAATATTTTTTATCATTTTTTTGATTTGTATTTTCTGAAAATCAATAGAAAATCTTTTAAAATTTTATAATAATAAATTTTTATTTATCAATAAATTAAAATCACTAATAGCTGTTATTAATTTAATATCAAAATTATTTTCATTTAAATTAATGTTATTAAATATTTTATTATTATTATTTTTATTTTTTGAGTAAAAAAACATCATCTCTTATTTATTTATATACTCTATAATATATATTTCAGAAAGAAACAACATCTTTCATGTACAACTTGTAGTGAGTTAAATGTTAGCTTGTCTATGCATATTATGTCTAACTAGTATAAAAAAGAAATTTTAAACAATATTATTGTTAAACATAAGCTGAATAATAATTATATCTTTCTATTTAGAAAAAAAGCTTTTATATTTAAAAAATTTGAAAAAAATAAAAGTAACTAAAACTAAAACTAAGTTGAGTAGATTATAAAATCTATAAAAATAAAAGTTATATTCCCAAAAGAACCCCTGATCAAACTTGTTATTATATTTCTCTGGTTCTTTGCAACTTGTTAATATAGCTTTTGTTATCATGAATAATAGAATATACTTAAAGTTGTTTATAGTTATAACTGTTGTTATTGTTATTATTGTTGGATTGATAAACCAGTTTAAATTAATTATTATTATTGTTATTGTTGTTAAATTAATAAACTGGTTTAAATTAGTTTTATTGTTTTGATTTGAATAATATAATAAATTTTAATTGAATAATTGTTAGGTATTAATCAATTAGAAAAAATAAATTGATTTTGATTTTTGAGATTAAAAAAGATTATGAATTTTTTGAGTGGTGCAATAAGTGACACCAAAATAGAAAAGTGTATAAAGATTGTATTAAAACAAATATTAGATTCTATAACTTGTTTGAGTATGTTTTTGAAAAGTATTTATAAATTTATTAAGTATAATAATATTAATAAGAATGATTTTTATAATAATAAAAGAGTTTAGATTACAAAAGAATCAAAAAATAAAAGTATACTATTATAGATTTTTTTCTATACAACTAAAGAATAAACAAGACTTTCAAACTTAAATAAACTTCGATCAGAGATTTCATCCTATTGTATTAGTTATATTTAGTGTTCTTGGATTCCTAAGCTAAGGCTTACTTGCAATAAAAAGTATAAAGCATTTTTCTTTAACCTAAAATTACTATAAATAAAAATTTTAAGCAAAACAGATATAATAATAAGAAAGTTTTTTTTTTTAATATTTTATTATTATTAATTTTTTTAATATTAATAATGATATTATCAATCTTATTATTTTTATTATTTTTATAGTTATTTTCTTTAACAATTAATTAAAAATTAAAAAAATTTGATATTTTTTCAATCAATATTTTATAATAATGAAAACAATAATTACAATTAGAATCTAATATATTAATAAAACAATTAAGATAATATGTATTTTATATATTAAAACTTTTATATTTGAATTTATATTATTACAAAATTGTAAATTACAAGGTTTTTTATTGCTTGAAATATATTTAATATAATATGCTAATGGAAGAATTTCTTTAATAAAATTTTTTTCAATTGAAGGAATATAAATTTTAATTTGTTTACTATTTTTTTTTCAATTTTAAATTCAATTTGTTTTTTATAAAGATTTTTAAAAAAATTTAAAAGAAAAATACTTGTTGAAGTAGATAATGAATTTAATTAATATTTTGAAAGTAGATATTTTTAACTTTTTTTTAAGTAGGAAAACATCATCTTTTTATTTATTTTTATACTTTGTAATATATATTTTAGAAAGAAACAATATCTTTTATATGCAACTTGCAGTAAGTTAAATACTAACTTGCCTATATATACTATATCTAACTAGTACAGAAAAAATTTTAAACATACTATTATTAAATATAGGTTAAATAGTGGCTATGTCTTCTTATCCAAAAAAAAAAGCTTTTATATTTAGAAAATTTGAAAAAAATAAAAGTAACTAAAACTAAAACTAAGTTAAATAAATTATAAAATCTATAAAAATAAAAAGTTATATTTCCAAAAGAACTTTCGACTGGACTTATTATTATATCTCTCTGATTCTTTGCAACTTGTTAATATAATTTTTGTTATTATAAATAGTAAAATATACTTGAAACTATTTATGGTTATAACTATTGTTATTGTTATTGTTATTGAATTGGTAAACCAGTTTAAATTAATTATTATTATTGTTATTATTATTGATAAACTGGTTCAAACCAGTTTTGTTGTTTTGATTTAGATGATATAATAAATTTTGATTAAATAGTTGCCAGTATACATGTGATATAAATTATTTTGCTATTGACTCAATTGTCAAAATCCTCAAAAATAATTGTATCTGACTTAATTATTTTATATATTTTAATAATAACTCAATTAATTGCATCAAATAATTATATCAAATTATATTAAAGATCTATTAATTTCTACCACATGTATAGTTGCCAGGTGTTGATCAATTGGAGGGAATAAACTGCTTTTAATTTTTGAAACTAAAAAAAATTATGAATTTTTTTGAGTAATATAATAAGTGATACCAAAATAAAAAAGTGTATGAAGATTGTATTAAAACAAACATTAGATCCTGTAACTTTATTTAAGTGTGTTTTTGAAAAATATTTATAAGTTTAATAATTATAATAATATTGATAAGGATGGTTTTTATAATAATAAAGGGATTTGAATTGCAAGAAAACCAAAGAATAAAAGTGTACTGCTATAGATTTTTTTCTATACAACCAAAGGATAAACAAAACTTTCAAACTTAAATAGACTTTAACTAGAGGTCCCATCTTATTGCATTAGTTGTCTTTAATATTCTTAAATTCCTGAGCTAAAATTTATTTGCAATAAAGAGTATAAAACATTTTTTTTTGACCAAAATTACTATATATAGAAATTTTAAGCAAAATAAATATAATTAGGAGAGAGTTTTTTTTTTTATTCTTTAATAAAGAATGATATTTTTTAACTTTTATAAAATATTCAATAAATTTATTTTCATATTTTTCATAATCTATACTGATTTAAAAAATTGTTCCAATAATTAAAACTTTTTTTAGACCTGTGAATCTATAGCACAGTAGTTAGTGCTTTACAGATCAGATCACAAGATACCAGTTCAATCCCATATAAAGGCGATTAAATAGAATTAATATGGTATCCGGTATTATAGCCAGTTATATGTCATTTCTCATAAGAAGCCATTTTACATGCTGATCCAGTAGGCGTTAAGATTGTAATCTCTAGAAAAGGAGTCGTGGTGTGACGATCGTCTGGTTGATGCTATGATGATTGCCAGAAGTTGGATATCAAAAAAGATGTAGAAGGTGTCCAGTTTGAAAAAAGATGGCTTGGTGATCACTTTCTCGTGGTACCTGGTGTCTCTTTCTGCAAGTTATTGATAGTCCAGTTTGGGTTAGAGATTTTCTCTACAGAGTTCTATTTGCCATAATAGGTACTACCTCCAGTTTCCCCTTTCACTTCCTCTTAAATATTTTTAATTAGAAATAGAACTTAACATAAAATAGCAATACTAATGAAGCATATGCATATTAGCTTTGACTTGTCTGAGATGGCGGTCAATAGCAAAAAACCAATATGGGAGTAAAATCCAATAATAATCCACAGTGGTCTAGAATAGCTTATAAATAGTAATTACCTGTAATACATGTAAGATACATATGTGAACTAAATAAAAGCCAATGCTGGATAAGGCCCTGCTAGTTAATTAAAAAAAAAAAAAATTAAAACTTTTTTTATTTATAGTATATATCTTTTGAACAATTAGTTTAGAAATTAATAATTTAAGTTAATATAATCAATATTAAAAAATAATTAATTAAAGTTGATATGTACATTAATACATTTTTTTGATGATAATAATTTATTAAATATTATATTATAAATTATACTATAATAAATATTTTTTAGAAATATATATAAAGAATATTAATTTATTATTTATTATTACTTATATATTATTTTTTAAATAATAAACTGTTTTTCTAAATAAAAACATAATGATATTATTTCTTTGATTTATCATGGCTTATCTACAAAAAAAATCACTATTCAACTTGATATTGATTATAGTACTGTATCAAAAATTCATCAAAATATATATTTCTAATATATTAAAGCCTTTATTTTATTTTATTTTATTTTATTTTTTTCGGCTAAAGTGAGACTCTTCTCTAGTTTTATTAATATAATAAGTTTTTTACATATATTATATATAAAAGGTTAACTATACTAATTCTATATTAACTAGAGTCCACCCACAGGTATCTCTGACCATCTGGGTTGAGTCTGCCACCGTTATTATCTCTCTTAATTCTACCATTCATATTTTTTTT